CCTTGCGCGACACATTCCGGGCCTGGCGCGAGCTCGGCGCTCCCGCCCTCGGCCGCCACCCCCCTCCTCCTCCCCTCCTCCCCTCCCCGCCTCCCCCGGCTCGCCCGCCCGCCCGCCCGCCCTCCCCCTCCCCAGCCTCCTTCCTTCCTAGAGAGCAGCTGCCAGGGGACCTGCGGCGGCCCCGGGGATCCCCGGCCCCCGCCCTCCCCGTCACGCAGCAGCGCCTTCTGTCTGTCTGTCTCTCTGTCTCTTTTTGTTTGTTTTTCCTCTTTTTCTTCCTCTCTCTTTTCTGTTCTTTGCTTTTTTTCGTTTCTTTCTCTCTGTTTTCTTTTTTTCTATCAGCGAGTCACTCTATTCGCCGAGCCGCCCAGGAGGTGCGACCGCTCCGAGAGCCTGGCGCCGCCGCCGGCCGCCGCCGGCCCCGCGCGGAGCCGCGGGCGAGCGCCCCGCCACAGCCCCGGGCCGGGTCCCCCCGGGCTCGCGGCCCAGGAGGCGGGCTGCGCGGCGGGCCCCGCCACCTCGGCGGCGCGGGGGGCGGCGGCGGCGGCGCGGCGGAGCGGCGGCGGCGGGTGCAATAAACAGAAAAGTGTTACCGTTCTCGCCTGGAAGGATCCTGCTGAAAGCTGGGCTTGGTGGGCGCCATCTTCCTGCTATTTTTTTTTCCTCTCTCTCTTACTTTTTGCCTCTCTCCCCCCCTCCCGGGCTGGGGGGGCGTGGGGAGGGCGGGGGTGTGCGTGTGCGTGGGGTGGCGGGAGTGAGTGCGGGCGTGCGCGGCGCTCAGCGGCTGCCCGGCGGGCGGCGGCCGTGGCCGTGGCCGTGGCGGCGGCGGCGGCGGCTACGGTGGTGGTGGTGGTGGCGGCGGCGGCGGTGGCCGCCGTGCTGCCGAAGCCGGGAGGCTAAGGAAAAGTAGCGGGGCCGGAGCCTCGCCGGCAGCCGGCCGTCCCCTCGCGCCCCCGGCGCTCCCAGCCGCAGGTCGCCGCCTCCCCCGCCGTGCGCGCCTTCTCCTCCCCCTGCCGGCCCGGCGCCGCCGTCCATGCGCCGCAGAGCGCCCGCGGCCCGGGCCGCTGGGGCTCCGGAGACATGCCCGGCGCAGAGGCCCGCGGCCGGCGGAGGGGGCGGCGGCGGCGGCGGCGGCGGCGGGGGAGGCGGACGCGCGGTCCCGCGGGCGGCTCGGCCCAGCTCCTCCGCCGCCCCTTCTCGCCCTAGCGCGCCGCCACCCGAGCTGGCCCGCGGCAGGTGGGGACACACACCCTCCTGGCGGGGGGCCTAGGCCGGGGGAGACGGGGAGGGGGAGGACGCGGAGGGGGCTCCCCGCTGGACCGCTGTGAAAGTATTTCTGGGCATTTTCCAGCTGCTTTGCTCCCGGGCGCGCTCTCACACGCAGGCAGACATACACACCCCCTTCTCCCCCCTCCTCCCCCTTCTCTCTCTCTCGTTCCCTCCGACAGACACACACACCCCCTTTCTCTTCCCCCCTCTCCCCCCTCCCTCCCTCTCTCCCCTTCAAGTCCTCCACCCCCACCCCCCACCCCCATTGAAGGACTGGGAAGCTCGGCTGCCGGCGCAACACCGCCACTCAGTTGCAATTTCAAACACTTCCCTTCTCTAGAGTATCGCAGCCAGGAGGAAAAAAAGAGAGAGAGAGGCACTGGGAGGCCACGAGCGGGAGCTCAGGCGGGCCGTCTCGCCGGACGCGCCGTCGGGGACGGGGGAAATCAGTGCGAGGGGGGAAATCAGTGCGAGGGGGGGACTTGCGCTGGCCCAGCTAGCGCGCCCGTCGCCCCGTGGGCGGGCACAGCTGCCGCCCGGGCACCTGGTGACTCTGGCGCTCCTCAGCCACGTCCCCCAGAGCGGAAGCGTCTGCACTCTCGGCACGCAGGGCACAAACATGCAGAGCCCGGAGTTCGCAGGTGAATCGCCACGTGTTGAAAGGCAGTTCGAGGGTAACACCTCTCCTGACTCGGGTCCTGGTACCTGACTCCTGGCCCCCGGAATGCTGGCATGGGGAATCCAGCCCAAAGCCACCTCCCCATTTTATAGCTCAGCATAGGCCTTTAAAAGGGTCACTTATGCAAAGCCAGCTCTGGAGTCCTGTTACCTGCTTAGACCCTAGGCAGACCATTTTCTCCACGTAGCCACTCTGTAGCTCAAGAGCAGCTTTTTCACAGGCTTGGGTCAGCCACGTGTCAACCAGGCAAGAAGGATGGACTCAATGATTTTCCATGTAGAGTAAATGAAAAAGCCTGATGGGAAACATCGGTCTTACCTGAGGTTTCACATTTTGCTTTTAACTTTAAGGGGAGGGGGTAAAATATCAGAGGAGGGTCCTCTTGGGGGTCCTACCATTCCAGGAAAGCCAAGGCTGAGACTTGGAAAGCTCCACCAAATGCCTAAGTGTTTCACATACCAGAAGTGTTTATCTGCATGATGATGTTTGAGTTCTCTTTGGAGTAAACTCTACAGGTACGAGAAAATGAGACTGATGGAGAAATGAGCAGAAGTGAAGCTCACTACTGGGTAGTGGAGAGGGCAGGTTGCTAGTTGGTATTCTGGCTCTGGGATGTCAGCTTAGAGTATTTTTGCCAAAGGTGACAAGTGAGAGGAGCTGTGTTCTCTCAAGAGAGAGGCAGTCTGCCTAAAAAACAAAAACAAAAACCGCACCCATCTCATCCCAGCATAAGACTCCCCAAAAGGACACCTTCACTTTAACATACCTATTAGGTCTCAGGGTAAAAACTAAGTCTACCCCTCAGAACCACTGAAGCCTAAAGGCTCAAGGTCCTCATAAAGTGATACAGACAGGAGACTCTTCACTTAACCTTACCTCAAACACCTGCCAGTGGTTTTCTTGCCCCCCCCTCCCCCTCGTGACTCACTCTTCCGCCCCCAAATTTAACTGCAATGAAGGACAGTAACAGGTGTCATCATATCTGAGTTACCAAACCAAAGAAGGCAATGTTTTCCACAGCTATTGTCTGTCTTCCTCTCTGTCAATAGAAGAGAGCATAAAAATCAAGGGACGTAATAATACCTCCCAAAGGCTAACGTTTAGACTTGATTGTTTTTAAAGCCTGTTTTTAAAGCTTCCCTTTTTAGAGCTGCACTGGAATTCAGAACCTTGACAAGTGGTCCAATTTCAAAGAGAAAAGTGGAAAGCACCATCCCACTGCAAAACAGTGTTGGGTGACAGTGACTACCTCTGGATGATCCTGACTAGAGGAAAAAATGGGCCCCAAGATTATTTTTTTTCCCTAAAGGGCACACTAACATTCAGAGCAAAGCTAAATTTTGGAAATTCATGACTGCTCTTATGCCCAAGTTATATATTCTAGGTCAGCTTAAGGTCTTCAGAGGTCCCTGGAATCATCCAAAGGCCATCTGACATTTCTGACCCCTGACACTTTGCTACACAGACCACAGTATTGTGTCTATTGCCTACACTTCCTAAAGTGACTGCCAGATTCTATTGTCATTTAAATGTTTTGTGAATCACACACACACACACATACACACACCTGAAAACCATGACAAGAAAAAAACCTAACTCTTTTCTAGTCCTTTATGTTTGTAAGATTCCCAGATCTTCTGTGTTAAAGGTTCTTGTAATCACTGAAGTAAAACAAAAAGTAAGTAAAAAAAAAAAAATCTTTGATAAGGAATAGCTCCTTTTCGAATCAAAGTCTCCTTTTTCAACTCCCGACAAAAAGCAGAGCATATAATGAAGTCTTCTAGAGAATACTTGCAGTCCTGAGCATGAACTTGGAAAACACTCAATGTGTTATGCAAAATCTGTGCTGGTCACTGGGCCATTGGTTAGAAGACATAAAATATGGCAATGATAGATTAGTTTAACCTTTCGGTTTAAATACTGTTGGATTAAATCAAGGGGTCTCAAATCAATGAAGTTTCAACACAAGGTAAAAACAGGACTTGTTATTTGAATTATGCACTATGTGTGTTTTAAGTTAAATGCCACTGGCAAATCTCTCAAATGTTTAATCGTGTGCAATCTGGGAAACACAAATATTTAATTTCACACTTTTCATGTGCTCTTTTTTTCTTCCATCTACCATAAAATTAAGCCCCACATATTGGAGTTTGCCCTTCTTACTACATTGTTAGTTTTTCTCAGTGAATTTTTGTGTATTACATTTTCAAAAAAAATCTTGGAACACTCAAAGTTGTCCTTAAGGAAAAACTTTAGGTTCTCCGGCTGTCGTCTTGGTAAATATCTTTTTTTCCCTCTAATCGAATCAAAGAATTTCTATTTCAGTGACTCATTCTTAAAAAAAATCTACAAATATATTTAGTAGAAACGTAAACAAATAATACTTTAAAACTTCCTTCTCACCATCTAGCCTAAGTTTGTTCAATTTGCTTCCTAACTACCACTTCTGATTCTTACCCATTTGCATTATAATACGTCTTAGATGAATACTTAAGAGCGCTGAAGAGACTCGGATTTCATGTCGTATTTCCCTGTAGTAACAGGTGACATGCTAACACTATTATAGAGAATTCCAAGACTACGGCTACACGTGAAAATCGTTTCTGGTCTGCTTGGGAACAAATGATCAACGCGCCTCCGGTGATCAATTGCCCCCCTTGCTGTCCGTCAGACCGGATCTGCGCTGAGCAGAGGCATTGAAAAAATTATCTGCTGTTAGGGGACAGAGATCCCAAACTTTGCGAAAGCACCTTGTGCGGAAGGTGCTCTCAGACTTCGCTGCAACTCTTCTGCTACTCGGGGTGAGACGCTCGGTTTGGGGGGGCCAAGCAGGGGGCAAAGGCTGATTTCACTTCGCCAGAGCACCGGAGTGCTCTTCGATCTGGATTGTAATCCCCCCCTCCCCACTTTCCTCCTCTACAGTCCGAGGGGGGCACGCAAAGTGAGCCCCGGTGATGAGCGTGTATAGTAGGACACAAAACAAGAGCAAAGTGAGTCCCACCCCGGCCCCCGGGACGGGGGGCACTATCCCAGCTCTGGCGGGACTACTCACCGCTGCTGGTAGGAGGTGATGCCCTGGACGTTCTGCGGGGTGCCGTTGGCCCCGGCGCCGGCCCTCCCCATGCCCGCACCGGCCGGCACCCCCGCGGCCGCCCCGCCGGCCGCCGCGGCCGTCACCTGCACGCTGAAATCCGGAAAGATTCGGATCATCGCCGCGGCTTGGGCCCCCGGGTGCTGCGGCTCTGGGCTCGGGCTGGCGGGGGCTCGGGCTCGGGCTCCGGCGGCGGCGGCGGCAGCAGCAGCAGCGCGAGCAGCGGCGGCGGCAGCAGCGGAGCCAGGCAGCAGCCTGCAATCCCATTAGTGAGCCGCGGCCACAGTGCGCGGCGGAGAGGCGCTTTGATGTGCGCGCAGCGGGCTGGGGGGGCCGAGAGCGCGAGGAGGCGGCGCGGGGGGTGTGCGAAGGACTTGCAAACAGCAAAACGTGTCAGGGTGGGGCCTTTTTCCCTTTTGGGGGGCAGTGGCGCTCCCCCCCCTCTTTCCAGGATGTTGCTCTCACTGGCTGCTCGGGCTGCGCCGCGCGAGCCCAGCTGAGGGAAGGAGGGGAGGGGGCGGCGGAGGAAGGATGCACCGGGAGGCTTGGCGAAGACTTGGCCGGTGCACGGGAATGACGGGCAGTGGAGGGGGCATTTGTTTCCCGCCCCTTCACACACACACACACACACACACACACACACACACACACACACACACACACACACCCAGCGCGCACTTCCGACCCAAAGTGCAAGACCGAGGCGCGCTTTCTTCCCCTGCCTTCTCTAGAGAAATAGCCACCATCCAGGCAGGCTCGAGCCTCCCGCGGCGTGCGGCTAGCTGGACTCCAGCCCGCGGGGGGTGGGAATGGAGGCGCACCACCTCCGCTCCTAGTCCCGGACCCCCTCTTGGCCGGGCTTCAGCACAGCGTGCAACGCTAGCATGGCCAAGCTCAAGTTGGACTCCGGCAGAACTTGCTACTTAGCGAGGAGCGATGGTGTGCGAAGGCGGAGGGGCGAGAAGAAGCCGCTTTTGTACAATGGAGAGTTACTTCCCCCGGAAGAAAGGGCTCTTCCCGCTCCCCCGCGCGCCGGCGGGCTGTCCTGGGAAAACTTGAGTGGTGGAGACTTGTGGGTCTTGCTAGAAAGATCAGGGTGTGCCCCGGTGTCCCAATTCTCTACCCCCTCTGGAAAGGAATAAATTGGCAGGCACAATTGAGAGGAACTCTGCGAATTCCTACCAGCAGGGAAACAAAAAGAGGAAACACGTGCATTTATTTGCTAGGGGCTTGAGTCTCGGGGCTACTTCTGCACCGGGCTCCCTCGGTCTGTCCTTAGGGGGGAAGCGGGAACCCAGAGTGAGGCTCGCAGAACTCGGGGGGGGGGGATGGCGGGAATTGATGGTGTCCTGTACCCCTGCGAGGACCCCCCCTTCCCCCGCCACACACACACACACACACACACACACACCCATGGCTCCACTTTCTCCTCTTCCTTCCGGCTGGAGAGATGGAGCAGAGTTGTGCGCCGTGGGCGCAGTCTCGGAGGGATGCCGGGCTCGGGCCCGCAGCCCATGGGGCGCAGGCACATCTTGCCCGGCTTTGCCGGTGCTGTGGAGGGTTTACCCCCTCTCAACCTGTCCTCCTGTCCACTCACCGCACGCCCAGGCCGGGGCACGCACGGCAGCCTGGGGACTAAAGTCTCTTCACCCTCCACACAAACCCAAGTTGGGCTCCGGGGAAAGCACAGTGACCACAGCCGCGCCACTCAGGCCTTCGTCCAACAGCGCCTCGCTCGGCGAGGCACCTGCTTAACCCTTTGGGCCTGGGGCGCAGCCGGCCCGCCGGGGCTGAGAGCGCCGGGACGGATGGGGCCAGAAGTTGCCAAAGCGGAGAAAGGCAGGGGCTGGGCGGCTGAGCCACGCCGCACAGGATCTGGAGGCTAAAAGCCTGGCCTCGCTGCAGACCCCGGCGTTCCTTCCCACCCTGTGGCTCTGGAAAAGAGCCAAGCCGCACAAAGGCGAATCCTCGCCCCAGCGGCGTCCCGCGCCGGCCAGGGTAACCTCGGTGCCTCCCCAACCCAAATGAGTTTCCGGAGGAGCCTCCCGCGCCCGGGCGCCACGGGGAGACGGAGGGAGGGAGCCTCGGCTCTCGCTGGCCGGGCCCACGGCGCAGCTGCGTTTCCATTTTCCTCTCAAAGAAAATGCTTTGGACGGCAGATAATACCAGGAGATATGAAACGGCTTCGTCCCCCCCACGTGTTGCACGGAAAAGGAATCGTAATGAGCATCTGTGGCTTGTGGAGGGATCCCACGAGTTCGTTGGAGACCTAGAAGAGGTCCCCAGTCCCCTCTTTCGGGTCATTCTTGAGTTCATCGACTAGAAATCAAAGGCAGCCCCCCCCCCCCAGGCACAGTCCGAGTACTGGGTTTGAAGGCATGGGGGTTTGGGGCGGAGCTGGTGGAAGCCCCCCACTCCCACCCCCAGACAAGCACTAAAAAAGTGGGACCTCCCTCCACGCACAGGCCGCTGGGGCTCCGTTCCTCCTCATCCTCAGAGCAGGGTCTGAAGGGCACTCAAATACCACTCTTTGGCACTGAGCAGCCTTTCGTTGATCATGCTCATTTTAGAGGGATCAGGCATGTTTTTAGAGGTTGGGGGAAGTTCCCTTCTTTTGATTGCAGTATTAAAGGCCAAAAGAAGCCCAGGAAAGGGCTAAGGAGTGAGGCGGAAAAAAAAAACAAAACCCGAATTCTGTAACACAGCATTTGTCTGATTTGCAGCCTGTCCTGGCTAGGTGTTAAGGCTGCCACTTGAGCCTGTGCCCACCAGTGAGGGAGGTCCCTGTCAAGTGGCTCCTGCTTCCAAATCGTTCCAGTCTTGCCCTGCAATATCTCAAGCTATGTCTGTTAGCCAGAGGCTGTTCCATTGTATCAAGCCAGAGAAAAATGTTCTTTGGCCAAAAGAAGTTTGTTTGGTTTTTTTTTTTTAATTACTTTTCCTTTTAATATCTTTCTATATGACCAAAATGCATTATATTTGTAGACAAAGACTAATCACTAATTTTTCAATACAAATTTTATAACTACAGACAAGGCCAGCGCTGGCATCTTACACCCTACTTATTTTTCAAAATGGGTAGTTGGTCTGCAAATGTGTAACCCTGTTCTGTTCCTCACCCCCCCCCCTGTTTTTTTGAGGATAAATTTCTCTTAGAAGGCTGGAAGACAAATTTGTCCCAATAGAAATGAGATGTGAGATCTGTTGTTACATATTTAAACTACAAGCAGTGAAGCTTCTTCCATTCAATATTATACTGTTAAAATCATTAAATGAGCACATTCAACACCGAAGTTCTAAGTTTCCAATTGTTCATTTTAGGGGAATATGATTCCTGTGCTGAAGAAAGTTTTCTCTTTCAAAACAGAAATACTCAAAATACTCAAAGAAGGCTTGCAGAATAGGTTACTTTAGAAGAGACATGGTAAGCCTGTTTTCATAGTTTAGCCCTATATGCATAGCTTCAGAAGGTTGGTCTGCAGGCAATAAGTACAGATTTCTTATTGGATCTGCCGGTTTTCATGTTCATTAAGGATCTTCAGCAAACTATAAGTTTATTGTCTCATTAGTAATTCAGATTCATAGCCCTGCTCCTTCAGTTAAAAATCTTTTACATGCTGGCAGCTGTTTTGAAATATTTTGAAAGTTGCTTTGGCATTCACCCAACCAGAAGGACTCCAGTTAGCACTAAACTGTATGCTTCCACAGTTTGCAACTATCCCCACCCAAATCTACATGTTAGTGTGCAGAGATATAGAAGAGGATTGTGTGATGTTTAACCCTGAATGCAGACAGATGACAGATACTCAGCTATTACAATTGCATATTTGCATCTTCATCTTTGTTGTCAAAAGCCTACTGTGTCTTTTGCTCATAGGATAAAGTATCCACTCTCTGGAAATTTATTTCCATTTGTTTAAATGGTTTGATTTAGATTTTTATTCTTTACTATCAGATGCTGCTCATGACAGGTAGGAAAGGGAAAGCTAGGAAGCTTGATTATATCTAATTTTTGCCAGATATTTCAGGGGAAAATAAAATACTATGCAGAGATCAGGATAAGATAAAGCAAAGCAGAAAAAAATAGAATCAAAACCTATGTGCAATGAATAAAGGTGAGAAATGATTTGCTCTGAAGTGTTGGATGTTTTTATTGAAGCAATTTTGCTGTATTCAGAGAATTTTTTTTCCTCTAAAGAAACTCATATCAGACAACAATCCACAAGAATTCATTGTAGGAAGAGCCATAGCTAATATTTTCATCTCACCATACCACATAAGAGAGATTTTACATTCTGTAGAAGGGTTAAATATTTGATTTATTTTCTATCATCACTCCTCAATCCAAATTGAATTCAAGCTCTTATTGCTAAATTTTCCATGCTATTAACATGTTCTCTAGTCCATTCAAAAACAAAACAGTAAGATCAGGGGATGGGGAAAAGAATGTAAACTTAGCAATATGTTTTTTCTTAATATTCTAGAAAGAAACCTAAGGAATTAAGAGAGAATATCTAATAAATCATTATATACGTGTGTGTGTGTCCATATATAATATATAAGAAGGGTTGAGGATTTTTTTGATCTTACTACTACATATGTTAGACACTGAAAAATCTCAAGCTATGACATTAAACTAATTCTCAGGAGACCTTATAAATATATAGCTAGACAAAGAAGAGGTTTGGTTAAAGAAAAGAAAATCCTTTATCAATTTTTAAAAACTCCTCAGCAGGCAGGAGAAACTGTTTAGAAAAATTAGTATGACTGAGGAAAAGCCCCACAAATCTGTATATTTTGGATAAAATATTGTGGCACATATTATTCCAAAGCATATACAAACCAATAACATCCAACTAAAGATAAACTTTTTCTTAAATATAAAATAACTGGATATACTCAACATATTAGAAGAATTTGTTTCTAAGCAATAATTTTTTTTTGCTTTTGTTTAATTTGCATGATAGTGCATTTGATTTTGTAGATGAAATAGTACTGATTTTCAGGGAAATGATCTTAAATCTACTTCTGATTATAAAGGAGTCCCATTTGCTGGTTCTCATTTTGTTGCTTCTGTTATATCAGCATAACTCAAATCTGCATGGAGGCCCTGCAAACT